AGTTGCCTTGACAACAAGACCAAGTTATGAAAACGAGGTCAACCCACTTCCAGAATTATGTTTAGTCAGATTTTATTTGGCTCCCCGTCGTAAATTGATACTCTTAGGACTCATCCTTTATCAAATTCATTCTGGGCTGGCTCATATATTCGGATAACGGCCCTTTCTCTTTTTATGCTATACATCAGACGATTTGATAAATTTACATCACCTACATTGTATTATTGAGTGTTTGTCTAAGACTGGATGTCATTTTCCTTGATTCAAGCATTAATAGGTACCGAAAATTCCACCATGATTTAATCCTGTTATTAAGTTTTGTGAATGACAATGGTTCCTGAGCGTGAAAACTTTATGGTTATGTAGTGTAGTTGAGGCTATCTCCGTCTCATACAATCATTGTTTTGTTGGCATAATACCTTGTATCTTTTTACATTCGCCCCTTATCAGCACACGAATTTGAAGAGCTAGAAAATGCCACCCGGCCAGAAGACTCCCGAGAAGTGCGTGCCATTCTTGAAGAGGATTTTGCCAAACAGCTCAAATCATTAAAGGAGGACCTTTCGGCCACCAGGGCCACCAACAAGATGCACGCGCTTGATCATCGCTATGAGGATAATCAGCGCCGGGGACTCGACAAATTCAAGACCTTGCGCCAAATAAGGCAGGGCAACACGAAACGTCGCGTCGAAGAATTTGAAGCCCTTTAATTAGCTCTATGGTCTTCTTTATCGTTGTCTATTCTCTGTATTACACCTTCCTTGTCTTTTGGCGCTACAATCCACTTAGTCGCTGAGAAAAAAATATATATAATTTTGAATTGTAATACAATCCTAATTTGCCCCTATTTATCTCTATCTCACCTCGCCGTTGATGTTCAAATTCCCTTTATTATTCAACCTTTCTTAGGATGTACTATCATGCTGCTCAGTATCGACATGGCATTCGCACCGTTTCAGTCACCCACCTACATCTGCTTCCTGCTTTTTTTTACTTTGGTTTCTTTTTCACATCGACTGCGCCACTCTAGCTTCCCATACGCTTGATCGAGTTGATGCCACTCGATTGTGCTCTATTTGTTTTATCATTTCTTTTTGATTGGCCGAACTGTCGACCTGTTTCCATCGGGGTACTCCCGTTTGCTACCAATAATAAGACTATTTTGAATTTTTTACAAGTATATACGGCTTACTTGCCTCCATCTCCACTCAGAGGATTAAGTGCGGAAAGG